GAGACTAATTTCCCAGGTATAGATCCCAAAATACACGCAGCTGGGATCAGCAGGGCCTGGGCTGGGGGGCAAATTTCTTCATCAGGTGGTGACTGACCCAACAGAAGGTGCTGTTATGTTAGATTCTGTGTGAGGAAGGGAAGGACTGACTCAACTGTGAGAGAAAAAAGTCTTAAGGAGCTAAATTTGCTCAGATCTGCAGCCCAAATAGCCACTGGGAGAGTGAGCTCCCAGAGCTGTGCCTCATCCATTAAAAACAAACCAGGGAGGAGATCCACTGTGTCCCATCCTGCCAGGAGAAAGGAGGGTGCATCTGTACCATTGTACCCCACTGATTCCTTGTTGGATCCAACATCCTGGTGTAACCACAGTACAAGAGAATAAAAGTGCCATTGGAGCAGCTGCAGGAATGGTCCTTGAGGTGAGAGGGGCTGGGCAAGAGCTGGGCTCCAGTACTTCAGTGACATGCACTGAGAAGGGCTGGAGCTGCTGTCTGAAAAGATCCTCAGGTAGGTCAGGATGGGAAAGGGGAATTTTTGAAGCTGCTGTTAAATATAAAGAGACTAGGAAGGAATTTAGGCTGTAAACCAGAAATGCCCCAAGCCCCAGGACGAGGAGGCTTTAAAACAAGAGGAGTGACAGAGGCAAAAGCTCCAAATGGTGGAGAATGACTTTCTAAAAGCAGCTCCATGGTTTGGGTGTCTGTGACAGCAGGAGACAAGGTGGGGGTGACCCAGGATCTGTCTCCTGCCCTGTGTCCCAGGAACTTTGGAGACCCCAGCCTGCAATGAAGGCCACGTGCACACTTTGTCCTGTTGGCAGAGGGCTCAGGGGTCTCAGGGAGGATTTCCCAAAGAATTCAATGGAAGTTTGGAGCAGAGAGAGGCTCTGCTGGCATTTTCCACGTTGTTTATCTTATTCCTAATCCAACTATGAAGCAAACACATCATATCCAGGCTCTACTCCTGAATTACTCCCTCAACCAAAAAGCCTGTTGACATCAATGGCAGCCCTGTCCAAGTGCAGGCCTGACATCTTTCCTTCCACTCAGCTGGAAAATAATAATAATAATGATGATCATTTTTTTAATCCTCATAGTAGTTTTTTGGGGGTTTGTTTTGTTTTGTTTTTTAAAGTTAAAATAACATGGTGCTGCGACTGGAGAGTTACAAGGGAAAGTGCATCAGGAATGTAATATTGTTTCCAGATGTACAATGTCATAAAGAATTTTTTCCACACTTGGAATGGTAACAGGAATTTTTTGAGAGAGATCATTTACACAGTGATGAGATATGTTACATGTAAGTCAATGCCTGTATGCCTGGAATGTTTGCACCATATGTCTAAATAGGTGTCTGTGACTGATACAGCTTTAAAATACACGGGGAGGTGTATTTATTTGCATATCTGGGATCTGAAGAGGAGCACCCATTAGAATATGGAAATACTGTGACAGTGTGTAGGTGGGGGAGGGAAATTTGCAATATCCAGGTGAAGGTTTGGAAAGAAATCCAACCCCCTGAGCTGTGCAGGGAGGTGAAGGAGGGGCAGGGCAGCTCAGAGAGCCCCAGTTTAATGTGCTAAGGGTGGTTTGTCTGCGTGTCACGGGGGGTGAACCCTCCTCGAGGGTTCTGAGCAGGGGTTGCCTCACCCAAATCCACCTGGGAGACACAATAACGGGGAGATCCAGCACAGGCATTTCTCCAGGGCTGCTGGGGGAGCGTTGCTTTGGGTCTGTGGCTGCTGAGAGCAGGACCCTGCAGGTTGGCAGAGAGAACTTCGGGGCTGCTGAGAACACACGTGGAGCCCTGGAAGTGCCTCTGTGCTCCTGGAGATGGGACCTGGGTTTGGAAGGACGCAGGAACAGCACATTGCCCTCTCTGCCTCTTGCTTGGTTGTCCTCTGAAACTCCAGCAGAGCTGTTTGACCCAGGTGGCACAAAATCTTCAGTCTTTGTGCTGTTCGTGTCCAAATTTGGCTGCAATGACCAGAGTCCATGGCCTACCTGACATGTTTTGTTGTTCTCAGATCATTCCCTTAGGGTTAACTTTTCCATTAACCACGGATTTTAGAGAAAAGACCCTCAACTGAATAGGCAAAGGCGCCAAATTTTCATACACAGGCAGTGGTGCCACCAGAGCAGGAAAGGAAAAACCCACCAAAGCCGTTTGCCAGCGATTTGCTGCGGGCAAAAGTGAGAATTTAAGTCTCCAGGGGAGTTTGCACATCACCTTTCATCGGCACTAAACACAGGGACCTTAAAACAAGGGGCTTGGACTGTTTTACGACGTTGGGAGAACAAGTGTTATTGATAAATACGTGTTCAGAAGGGTATTGGCAAAAATGCACAGAAATGGTTAACAAGGTAATGGTAAGAAACGTTGACCTTGATTTGTTTAGCTAAGATGTAAAGATTTTTGAAGGTCAAAGGTGTTCTTGTGTAGTGTTTTGGAGTCTAACTGTGTCTGACCCTCTAACATTAAGCTGCTGTGGCCTGCAGTTTTGAAGAGTGAAGCAAACCAGGGGGAAAGAGGGAAGGGGGAGAGAACAGGAAATGGAGTGAGGTGTTTCAGGAAGTTGTCAGGAGTTGACTGATTGATTCCAGATGGAAGGGGTCACCCTTCATGACCCAGGAAATACTCACTGGGGGAAAGCAGTTGGCTTGTGAGAGGGAAGGGCCTGGGAGTTAGAGACCATAGTGGAATGCACATTCCTCTTCCTTTTATCCATAAAACATTGTTTTTTAATCTTCAGTATGAAACTATTGTGTCTTGATCTCCACCAGGCAAGAGGGAATGGCTGGAGCAAAGTGAAGAAGTTCAGCCCTTTTTGTGCCCACAATCTCACAGCTCTCACTCCCCACCACTGGTGATGAGTTGGGTAGAGGTGTTGTGGCCATGACAAAGGGCTCTGCTGGATTTCAGCAGGACCTTGGAGAGGACTGCAAAGAAGAGCCAAAACTTTGGGTTCAGATCTCTGAACTTTGCACTCATCCTGTCCCTGTGATGTTCCAAGTGGCTCTGAGCCTCCTGTGAGGAGTGGGAGAGGTGAATCCAAATGGAGCCACACGTGGGCAGAGGGCTGGAAGTGCATCTTCCATTCCTGCTGGATGCTCAGCACTTGTCTTCTGGACTGCTCAGGCTCTGGGGATCTCTACATCTCTTACCAAAATATGGGTCTTGTGTTTTGCACAACATTTACACCCAAATGATTATTCAGACACCGATCTCTGCTCTCTGTGAGCAGGGACAGGACCCTGGAATGGCTGGAGCTCTGTCAGGGCTGGTTTAGGAGGGACAGTAGGGAAAGTTTCTTCCCCCAGAGGGTGGTTGGGCACTGAACAGGCTCCCCAGGGTTTGGTCACAGCCCCAAGGCTGCCAGAGCTCCAGGAGTGTTTGGACAACACTCCGAGGCACAGGGTGGGATTTTGGGGTGTCTGTGCAGGGCCAGGAGCGGGATGGACGATCCTTGGGGGTCCCTTCCAGCTCAGGATGTTCTATAATTCTATTCTACATGTGTACACTCAGGGTCTGCCTGTATTCTCAGTCTCTCATCCTGAGAGCGTGTGGGTGTGTATTTATCACACAGAACCTCGTGTGGGTGAGTTCAGACCCCTGTATATTACACAGGGTAACTGTATAGATGCGATCACTTTTTATTTACATTTGGTTACAATTTAAACACTTGTCGTAAATATTTCAGACACTGGAATAATTCAGGGCTATTCCCTTGTTGCCACAGCGCTGGCCAGTGAGAGATTAAAATTTATTTCCATTGTTTAAGGGAAAATAATGAAGTGCATCTGAGTGGGCTCAGCGATGTCATGCGGGAAACGTTCCCTTTGGACAGAGACACACTCCACCCTAATGTGCAATGAGGAAATCAGTTGGCACACAAAAGCAACACATTTTGTGACAAGAATGCTTGAGAAGTATAAGAGTACAGCATGACAAGAGCCTTTTGGAATGAATTAAAGTTGTCTCGAGAAAGAAAGTGTTCTTCAAGCTCTCACAATCCCGGGGAGGGCAAGGTTTCTCCTCTGTATGCTGAATAGAGTTTTATCAGCAACTGGAGCCTGACCTTCTCTTACCTGGACTATGACAGCTGTCTCTGAAAATCCATGAACTCATCCAGGGTTTGATTTTCCATAGCTCTGACTTTCTCTAGGTGTGTGGTGGCATAAGCTGATTTACACCATTAAGCTGATTTACACCAACTGCTGGTCCAAACTTGAATGTTTCAATAAGATGCATCTTCTTTCAGGAGCTGAACCACGGTTTGTTCACATTTCCTAAAAGTTTGTGGTTTAAGGGTGCACTATATATTTCTGGATCGATGGGGATTTAGAGCTTTGGATATTGTAAAAACTAAAGTGGGCTTAATTAGCATATACAGTTACTTCCTGTAAGAATTCAAACACTACTGGAGCTCAGTCGTGGGGGCTGAGGCTTAAAAACTGCTGCTTGAGTTGGAGTCCTCGGGCTCAGATGATTTTCAGGAGGCACTGATATGTCAGCAGCAGGTTTTAGTTGGTTTTCATGGAGCTGCAGGCAGTGGAGCCTCGTCTCCAGGCAGATGCAGGTCCATTTGCATGAGTGTGCCAGAAGCAGATGGCTGGGAGCCTGCAGGAGGATCCCAGGGCACATTGCTGGGCTGCTCTGAGCCTGCCCCGTGCCTGGTGTACACAGCCCTCTCTGCCATCAGCAATGCCACAATGCACCTCAGCAACTGAATTTAGGGCCATCTGCAGTGGCTGGTTCATTATACAGCCAGGCCTTTATATGGCCCTCAGGATGCTGTGTTAAATGGAATTAATGCCCAGAATGAAGGCTGAAAATATTTCCTCCCCTTCCTGCCAGGGAGTAAAACCCTGCAGGACGTGGTGCTGTTTCACACACGGAGCAGGGCTTTGGCCAAACTGAATAATTAACGCTTAAGAAGGCAAATCTCGAAGCAAATTGTTTACCTGCCTCCTTTTCCTTCCCTCTCTCAACCTCCAGGTTGTGCTATCAACAACAGTGAACGTTGATGGGCACGTGCTGGCAGTGTCTGACAACATGTTTGTTCACAACAACTCCAAGCACGGACGGAGAGCGAGGAGACTTGACCCCTCAGAAGGTGGGATGTTTGTCTGGAGAGCAGAGCACGAATGAATGCAAAAACATCTCCCCCATTCTTCAGCTTCTATTTGTTTTGAGGAGGGAAGGGGAGCCAAGGGGGAACTGCAGACCCTCAGGGGGTCTGGAGAAGAAAGAGGCAGGAAAACAGTGTCTGTGCATGCAAAATATGCTCCTCTTCACATCTGAGAGACTGGCTCCCCCTCCCCCTCCAATTTATTAATTAGTATGTGCTGCAAAGATGAAAACCACAGAAAACACCGAGCACCATCGAAATTTCAGCCTTCTCATTCAGCTGGGATAGATTTGATTTCAGGCAAATTAGGCAACATGACATCTTAGTTAAACAGAGCCGCTGCAGCCCAAGATGTGTATGAAAAAGTGTCACTGGTTCCCTTAAACAAACTCTGCACGGAGCAGAACGATGCACAGAGGGAGCTGACACTAATTGATGGGAGTTTGTTTGGCTAAGCCAGGCTCATGGCCTGCTGCAGGATGGGTTGGGGACTGTATTAAAGCAATTACAAACCCTCGTATCTGCTAAGCCTCAAAAAAAAAATGCCCCTCCTCTCCCTCTCCCTCTCCCTGTACGTTCATTCCTGACACATTCCACCTCCCTCACGCTCCAAATTACTGGAAAATGCTATCTTGTGTCTGCTTCTCCCTCCCCTGCAGCCAGGGAAAGTGAGAAGAGCTGGTGATGTTAGTAGAAAAGACAAGCAAGGATATTATTTCATTATAATGTTTTGCTGCCCCACTTCTTAACTGTGCCCTGTATCAACCTAAAAGAAGAATTAATGAACTGGAAGAAAATGATTGAATCAGTAAAGAATTCAGAGTGGTGTTAATTCTCCCCCAGCGGGCAGTGAAATGGTAGAAGGAAAATCCCAGGATTCCTAGCCTAGGAAGCCATCCAGTTTTTCCTTGACTGATTGGATGTGATTGACTGGCTGTTCAAAGGAGTCTCATGTTTTTGGAGCACTGCCAAAGTTCCCCTCCACCTCTGACCCTGTCAACATTGGGAATGGAGTGATGGATTGACTTTGGTTATGGCCTGGAAACCATATTGGGTTCCTGATGGGATGTATAGTCCAGAGGCCTTGAACATATGGAAGAGAGAAGGGAAAAAAAATCTACTCTATAAAATCAAGAAAACGATTAGAAATTGTCTCCTGATAGGAATTGGAGGAGACATTTGATAATCCCATATCCTTTTTCACCCATTCATAAATTTAACAAACCTGACTCTGCCTTTTTTGTTTTTTCCACAGGGTTTGTTTTTGTGGGATCACATGTTAATGAGTGGGTGCTGGGTTGGTTTTTTTTTTTTTCTTAAACAGCCTCTGCACAATCATTTAAGCATTTCATTTTTACACACACTACAGTTGGCCTATTAGGCTTTAATGACACCATGTTAAGTGCCAGTAATGAATAGGCAAGTAATTAACAGTTGCAAGGCAGAAAACACGCTTTTATTCATTTATTTATTTATTTATTATTTATTTGCTGGGGTTTGTGGAAGGGTGAAGCAGCCTCTATGGGTGAATGGTTGGAGAGGACTCGTCCTAGGCCTTTGCCAGCTCTGGGAATTCAGAAATTCCCAGGTGTGGACGGGTGAAGCTGCTCCTGAGGCTCACAGGATTTCACCGTTCCGCTCCAAGGATTTACACCCAGTGTTCCAAACAGCTGTTGGGGGAAAAGGAAAAAAAAAAAACAAACAAAAAGCCCTCCTAAGGTGATGCTCTGCTGTCCTCTGTGTTCTGTTCAGCCACCCCCTGCATCAAAGCCATCAGCCCCAGCGAAGGGTGGACCACGGGCGGGGCCATGGTCATCATCATCGGGGACAACTTCTTCGATGGGCTGCAGGTCGTCTTTGGGACCATGCTGGTGTGGAGTGAGGTGGGTAGAAAAAGCCCTTCCCCGAGGAGGAACAGTGGTGATCCCTGTTCCAGGAGGGGTGGGGTGGAAAGCAGGCCATGCTAATCTGTGTGGGGGGAATTCAGGGAACGTGTTTTCCTTGCTGTGGGATCTCATTGGGGTCAACTGCTCAGCGGGAGCCAGAATGGGACTGGACAATTCTGGGCATCTGGAGACAGGTAAAGGGAGAGAAATAAAGAAAGAATTCCCTCTGGGTCCAGGATAAGCCAGCATTTAACCAACGGGCTTAACAGTACAAGTTTCCTGATGAGATTTCATCCTAAAATGTGTCTTCTTCTCCTGAAGGCAAGGAACTGGAGCAGATGTGTCCCTTTGTGTCTCCTGCACAGGAATAAAGACTTTTAACTCAGGGCTGGGATGGTAGAACCAGGGGTAATGGTTTTAAAATGAAAGAGGGATATAAGGAAGGCATTTTTTTAGGATGAGGGTGGGCAGGCCCTGGCACAGGTTGCCCAGAGAAGCTGTGGCTGCCCCATCCCTGGAAGTGTCCAAGGCCAGGTTGGAGCAACCTGGGCTAGGGGAAGGTGTCCCTGCCCGTGGCAGGGGGTGGCACTGGGTGGGCTTTAAAGGTCATTTCCAACCCAAACCTTTTTTATTACTCTGATATTATTCTGTTATTTGCTCACAAAGTAAAGGGGTGACACAGACACCTGACTGTGCCTCTCCTGGTGCCATTCCAGCTCATCACCCCTCACGCCATCCGAGTCCAGACGCCTCCCCGGCACATTCCCGGCGTGGTCGAAGTGACATTATCCTACAAATCCAAACAGTTCTGCAAAGGTGCACCAGGCAGGTTTATTTACACAGGTAGGTGGCTGATTTTGGCTGGGGGGGGGTCGGAGCTCTCAGCTTTTTATTTTGGTGACTGGTGTCGACAACTCTCAGCTTGGTTTGTGTGTTTATTTTTATTTGTCCTCTTGCTCTTTGAAGGCCACTCGGGCAGTTTGGATGTGATTTTTCCAGATTAAAGCTCATGTTGCCAAAATGTGGGTCTGCCTATCGGATATTGAGTGTGCAGGGACATGGTAAAATTGCTCCACGTTCTGGAAGTCGTTTTATCCAGAACAGTGTTTATTTTACATTCCCCTCTGCCTGGGGAGAGCCTTTCATTTTTAGGATAATCCCAGGGGACCAGGAGAGCATCTTGTACCAAGAGAAGAGCTGAAAACAAATCTGGGGTTTGCTGATTCTTAGGTGGATTATCAACTTATTTAGAGAACATGATATAAGGACATGAAAGGAGAAATCAGGTGGCACCAGGGTGACCAGAAGTGACAGTGATGTCATGCAATGTATGCACTAAAGTTCCTGAAATTATAAACCATGGCTGGAGAATGTTGAGTTCTAAAGGAGGGATTTATCTCTGAGTTGAAGGACTCTCAAATCGTATTCAGAATTCCCAAAAATGGAAGGATTTATCTAATTTTATGTAAGCCTCTTGCTACCCACGATGAAATACACTTTGTGTATTATAAATGTCAATTTTTAAATAATAATTTAACACAGAAAGGATAATGAAGGTCCAAGACATTTTTAATTAAAAATTTGAAGGTAAAAACTTTGCCACCTGTTGAATGAATTAGTTAGAATTTTCCCAAAAGTGGAAAAATTTGAATGGAAATCTGACAGCTCAGGACTTGTAGAAAGAGTCGATGATATGCGAAGATCCTGGTAGTGTTTTATGCCATTTTACATATCTAAATTAGTGTATTTATGTATTTATTCATGCAACTGCCACACCTAGAAACCTGCAGCAAGAATTAAGTCTACAATTAGAGTTATAATTAAGGAAATATAAGGTTTTGTTATAATAGAGACCTAATCCACAGTTAATCAAAAGTACTGAAATTATATCCATTGACTGGAACTGATTTTGAGCCAACTCAAATTGATTAGGACAAATCAAGCCTGTGTGCAAATACCTTTAGATTTCAGCACCTTGCAGGTGCTTTAGAGGAAGAGATATTATTACTTTATCAGGTTTTATCACAGATTTAAATGTAAAATTCTTTTTTTTCTGCTCCTTGAGGCCCTGCCCTCGGTGTCTTCAACACTGAGCTGTTGGTGCCTGTGCTGAAAGAGGGTTAAAATAGAGAAATGTGTCATAAAAATATCTATTCCTCTATGAAAAAAAAAAAAAATCTTATTATTGTTGTAAAGCTGTTTTAAGTGCAAGACTGATCTGTACCATCCAGGGGGGGTGTGAGTCAGGCCAGTGCAGCTCTTTGAGGTGTTAATTTGAGACCTTCCACACAAAAAAAGGACGTGAAGCTGCACACAGGAATCAGCAGGAAAGAAAGTTAAACACCCTCTGCCTGTTTTCCTGCTGTCCCTGGCACAGGGATGTGTGTTCCCATCCTCTGAGGAGTGAGTGGGTGCTCCTGCCATATGTTGAGGAACACCTCAGAGGAGCTGCTGGAGCGAGGGTTGGCCAAACACCTCCCCAGTCTGTCTCTCCAAGAACCTGCAGCTCTCCCACCACGGCAGGCAGAACGAGAAACACAGCTCTGAGGTAGAGCCTCACCTGGGTAACTAATTCCCCCAGGCTGGTGCTGCTAATAGCAATAAAAACAACTTCTAAGCTAGGAAAATAACAGGGTGGCTTTTTTTTTTTACCCCTTCCCTGTGTTATCAGGAAACCACTGTTGGCCCCGTGGACAAAAGCGTTGGGTTTGAAGCCATGGTCAGGCAGGCAGGGCCCTTCTGCTTCCAAGGCCAGTGGATCCTGGCCTGGATCAGGAATAGTGTGGCCAACAGGGGCAGGGAAGTGATTCTTCCTTGGGGAGGCCACCCCTGGAGTGCTGTGCCCAGCTCTGGGCCCTCAGTTTGGGAAGGATGTTGAGGGGCTGGAGCAGGGCCAGAGAAGGGCAACGAGGCTGGGGAAGGGTCTGGAGCACAAGTGCTGTGAGGAGAGGCTGAGGGAGCTGGGGGGGCTCAGCCTGGAGAAGAGGAGGCTCAGGGGAGACCTCCTCACTCTCTGCAACTCCCTGACAGGAGGGGGGAGCCAGGGGGGGTTGGTCTCTTTTCCCAGGCAACCATCAGCAAGACAAGAGGGCTGGGTCTTCAGCTGTGCCAGGGGAGGGTTAGGTTGGAGATTAGGAAGAATTTCTTTGCAGAGAGGGTGCTCAGCCATTGGAATGGGCTGCCCAGGGAAGTGGGGGATTCCCATCCCTGGAGGTTTTTAAGGTGAGACTGGATGTGGCATCAGTGCCATGGGCTGGGAACCACGGTGGGGTTGGATCAAGGGTTGGACTGGATGATCTTGGAGGTCTTTTCCAACCCAGCTGACTCTGTGATTCTCTGATTCTCTATGAATCCATGATTCTATGATTCTGTGAATCCGATTCTATGATCCTAAGGCTTCTTCAGAACTCCCCCAGCTTTCGAACCTCTTGCCCAGTTTCTCTCAGATTTTATCAGAAAGGTTGTGGAGCGTCAAAGGTGCAGTTCCAGCAGGTTTTTGGATGAAATCTCGATTAATCCCTCACTGGAAGAAAGGGTGAAGAGCTCAGCCATGTTATCAGACAGCAGAGAAGTTACCAGCAGGTCAAGCCTCAGGAAACTGGGTTGTTTAAATGGCACTGCCCACAGAGTGCACGTGTGCATCCACAGAAAAATATAAATAGCAAAATATACTCAGTTGGAGCACAGGAGGGCACCTATTTGTTGGGTAGAATGTAGCAGACAAATACATACAAAATACTGAATAGGAAAGTTCAACAGATTTAATAATTCTTGGTAGTGTAGACTTGGGCATTATAGCAAAAATCTGTTTTTATTTTTTTCCGTGATAATTGAAGGTTATTATTTTCTTGATACTTTAAGTGTTAATAACTAGTGTAGCTGCCTCTATAAATGAGAATTTCTCCTCTAAATACCTTCAGCTTGCTCTTGGCCAAACCCTAAGAAATGCAGACATGGAACATCAAGCCCAGGAGACTGAAAAGTGTGAAATCCTGCAAACTAAAAGCAGGGGAAGATGTAATTCTGTCAGAACCAGGAACAGCAGCAAGAACAAACAGCCTCAGTATTATCAGGGTCATGTTGTATCGAGTCCTTCACAATTATCAAGTGCTGAGGTGGAACCTCTGATGAAAAGCACAAAGGGTCAAGTCATGTGAAAAACAGAGAGTGGGTGGCTGTAGGGACTTCAAAGGTATAAGGAGAATAATTATTCATATAAAACCAGACCTCAGAAGGTTTATCAGGGCATCAGAAATGGGCAATCAGTTACAGAAAGACATGTGCTTCTGTTTTACATGTGAGATGTTGCCACAGAAGGATGAAAATTAACCCCTTGCCTGTGGTTGTACAGGAAAAATAGACAGGGAAATAGGTCTTACAGGTTCTAGTCATGTCCTTTAACTGCCAGAACACAACACTCTCCTAAAAGATGGAAACAACAGTGATGCCAGTATTGTATCCATGCCCCCAATATTTAATATACAATCAAATATTTATGCTCAACATGATTATACTTGAGTTCTCTTTTACTTTTTTCTTCTTTAAAGAGTCACAGGAAGACTGTTTGAAGAGGAAAATGATAAACTGTTGAAGAGATGAATATAAAAATTAGGTATCCATTTCAAGGGTAAATCTAAATGCCACAGTGGAGCTGTTATGGGAGCTCATAATGTGTATTTATAATGGGCTCCTGCAAAGTGTGCTGTGCTGGCACTGCTGCAGTTACGGGTCTGTCAGCATTTCCACTCCTCAGGGTTATCACTCAGGGTGCTGCAGCTCAGCCATCAAACTCCTCTCATCGCCAGAACGGGCTGTCTGGACTTTTCCAGAAGGTTCCCAGCTGGAAAACGTCTCTAAGAGCGAAGCCAAGGGGATCCTGCAGGCGTGTAACGATGTCCTGGAGAGAACAGCCAAAACCTGCAGAAATGGCTCGTTAGGTGCTAATGGCAGCTGCTGAACCAACATCAGTGCTTAAGTATATCCTTAAAATACTTGAAATGAGAGATAAAGAGTGCATTTTTAAATCCCCACAGCTAAACTTTCAGTCCCCCTGTGCACCTTGATCCATGAGAACGCAGGTTGCACAGACCCGTCTCGATGTTCTGAATTACTTTTCTCCCATCAGCTGTTCCTACAGCAATAAGGCATTTTTTTTTTTCCTCTGCTGGTAATCTTTCAGTAGCCTCATATTCTGCTTTTAATACTACACAAATTCAAATTCTCTGCTGCTGTAAGTAGTTCCATTATAGTTCCCCTGACTTTAATAACACATCGGTTTACGCCAGCTGAGGGCATGTCTTGCAGGCTTTCATATCTCAGGTTTGATCACAGCTCTGCATTTACCTTGTCACAGGGAT